CAAAAACAAAGGACAGAACACCTATGCAGTTTTAGAGTGGAAGGACGGGGAGGGGGAATGGGGGGAGAGCAGATCCATTATAGAGAGTCCCAGCATGAGACAAACAGCAAACAGCCAGAGAAGCAGGGAGGGGATCAGGGAAGGAGAGTGGGAGCGGAAGCACAGCATCCAGAAACCATGGATATGAAGCCTTGTTTGGTTTATGTTGGATGTTAGATACCCCCATCTTAAATGATTTTTTGCGAAAAGCAGCCCAAGGTGTTTGGAGATCAGGCCTCAAATTGCAAGTGTCCGTTTTTACAAGTCTATGCCAAGTCTTGGCACTCAATGCCTACCACAATGCATCCACTATGATAAGACTCTTGAGTCAAAAAACAGAGGGGTGTTAGAATTGCGTGGGCAGATGCCTCCATCCCATGGAATCCCACCTCAGCAAGGAATGCCTCACCGCTTTTGGTCAGGCTCCCCAGCCAGTGTGGCCACGGCTTTAACAGACCACTCAACAAACATAAGGGCCCTGGATCCTAGGGACATGTTCTTGAAAAGGGGGAACTCACCAAACAAAGCCGATCTTAGCCTGGTGGAGAGCATGGGCAAGAAGGGCGTTTTCCAACACGTAACCCTGGGATGGTGGGGAAAAAAGCCGCCCCCCCATGGGACCTCCAAATGTTTTTTCCCAGCCCAAACCTTTCTGCTTATGCAATAATTCAAATTAGACCATATCAGATCAAATTAGAAGAAGCCCAGGTTCAGTGGATGCCAGCACTCCTGGGTGGACCTCCGGGAAAACACAAAGAGGGGAAAGGTGAACCAGAACTACAATGTGTTTGGTCTCTGAGGGCCAGTTTAAATAGCCTTTGGGAGTGGTCTTGACCCTCCCTGGGAAGGGGTCACTGTTTGCTGGGCTTTCTTGGAGGTGTGGTCTGGACTGTGGCAACTCCCTGGGGAGGTGGCTTGAAATGGAGCTTTCCACTCAACATTCCAAAACGGATGCCAGGGGCTGGGGTGAAGTCCCGCCCAACAGTCATCAATCTGATTACAGACGAAGGGCAGTTAAGGTACCCTCTCCCCCTCTGCCTAGATTCTCAGCTGGGGTCATCCTTGTGGATTTCTGGGAATTTTCCTGGTGCCAGGTTTCTCGCTAACCCTCTCTCTATCAAGATATCTCTTTCCTTGCTCCCCCTCTCTGTTCTTCCCCCAACTCAGTCTTCTTAATCTCTCAGGTTCTCCTCTCCCCCATGTTGCGAATATTTCAGATGTGTGGGTTTATGCAGATGGTGAAATGAAGACTGAGAGACACGTGAGACTGAACTTAGCCTCTGCGGCTGCAGGAGGCTCAGTCGCGGTGAACTGAAGCACGTTTCCCACATCTTTATTTTTTTCCTATATTTACATTTTAGTTAGTAGATTTCTATATCTTAAAACAAACTGATGGAAGCTTCTGACAATACAATGCCAGGTGCAAATACCTGATTCATGAGGTACCATGGTTTTCCAGGTTTCCTCTAGGCCTAGTTTTGCATCGGCGTTGTATCCATGGGAAACTCTCAGTCTAGATTCACAGTGGAACAAAATGTATCTGTAACACAAAGAAAGGCCGAGAGAGTGTGTGAAAACTCCGGAGGCAGGCCAGGTATAGCCCAGCTGGGTTTCAGGGGCTAGTGGAGGTTTCTTGCTCGCCCTCTGGTGCCAGGTCAGCAGGACATTATGCCACACCCCCTTTCACCCTGCACACTCCCCCACAGTCCCACTCTACTCAGGAAATCTTTATTGCCCTTTCCCAGGGGGATCCATGTACTTCTCTCTTAGTGTCCTCCTCGTTTCCTGGCTTCTTTGGGGTTGTGGACTGTAGGCTGTTTATCCCTTGAAATTTGCAGGCAAATGGATGGAACTATTAAAAAACATCCCGAATGAGGATGAAAGACCCAGAAAGACAAACACGGTATGTACTCACTCATCAGTGGATACTAGACTTAAAGGAAAGAGGTATCTTGATAGAGGGAGTCATTATGGGGTTAGAGAGAAAACTGGTGCTAGGGAAATTTCCAGGAACCCACAAGCACGACCCCAGCTAAGACTCCTAGCAATAGTGGAGAGGGTGCCCGAACTGGCCTTCCCCAGTAATCAGATAGGTGAATATCCTAAATGTCACCATAGAACTTTCATCCAGTAACTGAAGGAAGCAGATGCAGAGATCCACAGCCAAGCACTGGGCCTAGCTCCTGGAGTCCAGTCGAAGTGAGGGAGGAGTGATTATATGAGCAAGAGGGGTCGAGATCATGATGGAGAAGCCCACAGAGACATCTTAAGGGAGCTAGTTAAAATGTCCTGCAGAGATGAGGAGAGAGCATGAGACAGAAACAAACCAATGTGTATAAGTTTATTAAGAAGATCTGTGCAGACGAGGTGGGGAAACAGTGAACAGAAGGGGAGGAAGAGAGCGTGGGAATGGTGCCTTTAGCTTTTAAAGGTTTCCCAGCACATGCGCATGAGGGGGAAAGGCGTGCCCACATCAGACGCTGACGCCAGGCAACAAACGCTATACCCTGCGCCTGCATATGGAGCCTTCTACGTCAGACGCTGGTGATGCAGATGGCGGGCGACTCACGCATGTGCACCTGGGATACCTGTATTGGCCTCAGAACCCGGAAGTGTAGCCTTACGGGTGGCTAAAGGAATTACACTAGTGGGAAGTCATGGACTCTAGACTGATGTCTGGGAAGCCTGTATGGGACTGAACTTGGCCCTCTGTATACAGGCAATAGTTGTGCAACTTGGTCTGTTTGAGGGGGCCTCTAGTAGTGGGACCAGGATCCATCCCTGTTGCAGGAGCTGGCTTTTTGGACCCCCTTCCATATGGTGGAATGCTTTTCTCAGCCTTGATGCAAGGGGAGGGCCTTGGTTCCGCCTTAACTGAGTGTGCCAGGTTTTGTTGACTCCCATGGGAGGCATTGCCCTTAGGAGAAGTGGGTAGGAAGGTTGGGAGAGGTGAAGTCAGAGGAGGGGAGGGAGGGAAACTGTGATTGGTAGACAAAATGAGTAAGAAATTTAAAATTAAAAAAAAAAGTTGGTGCCTTTCTGGAGACCTTTTGTGTAGACATCTAATAATAAATGTTAACTATTGCTTCTAAACGAGAGTGGAATTTTCTGCTGTATCACGAGGAAAGAAAACATAGGGTGTGTGTGAGGGGGTAAATCTATAGGAAGACGCTATGAAAACATAGGGTGTGTGTGAGGGGGTAAATCCATAGGAAGATGCTATGAAAGAAAGGAAGACTTGTAGCGATTGTGTTTGAGAGACAAACCATTCCTGGGGATTGAACGAATGAAGGTCTGCCTTTTTACCAGGGCCTCCACTTACTCAAAGTGTAGGGCAGATTTTCTTGTGAATGTTCTCAATGGACGCTTTTTATTTAATTTCCTGAGACATGGGCGGGTCAACCTCCCTTCTGGGCACCTTGTGTGTGCTTACTTCAGAGTCTTATTTCCATCTTATTCCAGTGTGCTTAGATTCAGGCCTTTCTTGAAAGCCTCCCTCAATGAAATGCCCCTTCCTTAGTTCCAGGTGTCACCTCTGCAGTGTCCTTAGCTGGGCCAACACCAACCAAAACCGCACTCTGCCTGTAAAGATGTCTACTCAGAAGTGAACCAAAGTTCCGCTGCCTCCCGACCCGGAAACGAGAACGTCAAGACTTCTGAAACTCAGACTAGAGTTGAGATGTATGTATAAGTCTCTGTCACGGTCAACAGATTGCTGTAGACACTTGTCTGTGACATGCAACGCTAACTGTGTCACATGGGCAACTGAAGTTTCACTTAGCTTCCTGGAAATGGCTCATGTTTTCTGGTGGGATATAAGTTTTCCTTCTGTTCAGATAAAGCTCTGGCCTGAGCATTTGGTAAACCAGGTTTTGTTTGTTACTCTATGAGAACTGCAGTGTATGTGTGTGAGTGTGTAAGAGAGAGAGAGAGAAAGATAAAAAGAGACTGTGTATGGATGAATGCGCATGTGAGCGCATGCATGTGTGTGTTAGTCTGTATGTGAATGTGCTTGTATGTACGAATGTGAGCATATGTGTGCATGTATATGCGAGTATATGAGCATATGTGTGCATGATATGTATATATGTGTGCATGTATATGGGAGTGTGTGAGAGCGTGTGCGTGTGTGTTTTGGATGGTGGGGTGGAATGCAAAACACATCCCTCTAAGATATTCCCTGACACAGCAAGAAGAGGACTTGCTGAGATAAGTCTTAGAATTTGTTGGGGGGGGGATTTGAATTGTGGGTATACAGAAGAAATGAACGAGAAGGGAGAGATTCACATCTGCTAGAAGATTCCTTGCAGGGAACAGAAGCAGTTGGATATGCTGGCCTATTTTGGGGACAGAGCACTTGGTTTAGATATGTCAGATTTAGCTTGGTCAGGTACTAATTAAACTCCAGAATGACTCTTGGAGTTGTAAGAGGAGAAGCCTCCTCTAGTCCCACTTGTCCAAAGCAAAAGCCTCTGATGGCATTACATAACATTCCTCTGGCACCCTAGGCATCCTCAGTGGGAAGAGCATCCACCCGCCAGGGCCAGGACTGCTTAGTGCCAGGGTCGGGTGATAGTGCCAGGGTCAGGTGTCAACTTAAGGAAGCCCCTGTATGCTCTCCTGTGTCTGTGAGTAGCTTTTGCTTTGTGAGGAAAAGGAAGAAGTCACTGAGTCAGACAACAATTTATAGTCAGGAGTGGGAGGAGCTTTAATGGGGAAATCACAGAAGCGAATCACTTGCATCTTGGTCCCTCTTCAGAAGAATTTTGAGTAGACAAACTAGTGCAGGAACCAAGATCTCAGTTGAATTCAGAGACTCAGAGGCCTCATATATGTAGGCAAAAAAGCTTCGTAGTACTTTATTTTCAGGTATAAATGAGAGATGGGACTGTGATGCAAGGGTGGGGCTCAGCATCCCTCCTGTGGTTAGCTCCCCGAGGCAGTTTTGGACTACATTACTTTTACTTTGTCTTTTGTTGCGCTAGTTCTGGAGCGACAGTTGAGGGGCAGGGCTCAGGGGCCTTGGGGTGGCAGGGCTCAGGGGCCTTGGGGTGGCTGGGTTCAGGAGCCTTGGGGTGGCAGGGCTCAGGGGCCTTGGGGTGGCAGGGCTCAGGGGCCTTGGGGTGGCAGGGCTCAGGGGCCTTGGGGTGGCAGGGCTCAGGAGCCTTGGGGTGGCTGGTCTCAGGAACCTTGGTGTCACATGGCTTCTTGATTTGGGAGACACATGGCTCCTGAGGTGGTGGCTGGCAAGGCTGTTTCACTTGCTGCTCATGCAGCTGAGGTGGTTCTGCACAGGGCTGCTTCTGCTGGTGTGAACTCATGCTTCCAAGATGGCTGGGCCTAGAAACAGAATAGATGATTTACAGAGGGAATGGCTTCATGAGAAACCACTGGCAATGCCACTTCCAATGCATGAAGAAGTAGAGCTCCTCCTTTCTCTCTCTACCACAGAGGGTTCTTTGCCATGAGGGTCCTTAAGAGTGATAAGTTTGGTTCTAAACTAGCTGGTTTTTCCAATTCCCCCCTCTTCCTCCCTATCATAAGGCACAGCTGGCAACATAGCAGAGGGCTTCAGCAGGAATATGAGACTGATGCCATTGGCCCATGTGGAAATGTCACGGCATGTGGAAAATAAGAATATTAAAATGCTCACAGCCCACTGCTCATCTGCAATAAGTAAGATGTTTGTCACCTGTAGAACACCTGTGGTCCTCCAGACCACCTCGCCAGCACATGTGGCTCACACCCTCTTCCGTCTCAGGTGCTCCACTCCCACCTGCTTGCTCAGACTGGCCCAACTGCCACAGATCACCTGCTCTGCCAATTTTAGGCAGCTTTCCTAGAGCAAGAACTTAGGAAATTTTTCTTGCCTTCCCATCTTGCCGTAGCTCCTGCTCTGTCTCCTGGCACTGACCCCCCCACAGTACTGCCTTTAGTTCCTTTTCTTCTAACTGAGATGCAGTTTTATAGAGAAAATTCTCCCTTCTCTAAATTACCCTTTACAGTTCAAAACACCAGATACAGCAAACTCTAACAAACGCTTTTATTGAAAGAATAAAATTCTCAGCGTTAAACTTGCAGATAAAGAAATGATGTCACTAGAAGTGTGATAGGCTTGTGTTCTTACACAGACACAGACACAGCGAGGACTGGTGGCACACACCAATTACGTCTAAAGTTCCTTCAATCGTGACTACTTTTAAGGGAAAGTTTTTACGGTTTGCAATCCAGGTGATTCATCTGCCTTATATCTACAACTAAATTTCAGTAAGAGGAGAAAAAAAGACACCCTAAATGCAAACGAGGCACCAGTAAAAAGTTACATAAATGCATAAAGTAAATGGTGAAGTATCCATGTAGAGACGCTTACCTGGTGTGCAGGATGCAGAGAATAGGCAGTGTGGTCACTGGGATCTGGTGTGGCATCCTCTTCACGCTGGCTTTTTATAGAAGGAACAAGCCCTGCCTTGAGGGACTGGGAGCCTTTGGGGCTACCGCATCTTCATTACTTACCCGTCAGACATGATTCATCCTAGGTGCTTCACCCACTTATTGGTTTAGCTTAAGTGATGAAACTAATAATGTGACCTTTTTCACATACTGACAGTCATACAGTCTGAGCATAAACCCTGAAGAATACCCCCCCAACACGCTCTTCAAATATGATGTTTTCAGGGAGGATGCTATGGGCTGAAAGAGCAATAAGGAAATTCTAGGAAATCAGGTAACAGAAATCTACTGTGATTTATGGATATCATAAGTATGGCCTCAGTTTAGATGGGTGCATTGGTGTGATCAGGAGGCCCAGTTTAGATAGGTGCATTGGTGTGATCTGGATGCCTCAGTTTATATGGGTGCATTGGTGTGATCAGGCTCTATAGTGAGCAAGGGGTAGCTAGGAGGTGCTTCAGATTCGTCTGGGAGGCAATGGGCATAATGTCATTACTCTCTTTTAATTGGAACAATTTAGGCCATAGTTCTACTTATCTGTTACTTAGTAAAGAAAAAAAAAAACCCAAACAAATAAGCAAACAGACAAAATCTTTAAACTGATTTTCTCTCTCTCTCTTTCTGTCTCTCTTTCTGTCCTCCCTTCCTCCCTCCCTCCCTCCCTCCCCCCCCCCCCCCCCCCCCCCCCCCTTTCTCTCTTTCCCCCCTCCCTTCCTCCCTCCCTCCCTCCCTCCCTCCCTCCCTCCCTCTCTCCCTGCCTCCCTTTCTCCCTTCCTCCCTCCCTCTCCCCTCTCTCTTTCTTTCATTCTTCCTGTCTTTAATGTTGAGAACTCCCTTTCCAAGAAAAGATACAAAAATAAGAGGTGATGGCTGGGAATCTCTATTAGAGAAGGGAAACTTTGAGCTGTGTAAAGTGAGAGGCCCATCGAGCTTCATGTCCAAAATGACTTGATTCTTCTATTCCAGCCACTTTTTCTATCTAGTGTGGCAAAGACTTAGGCAGATGGTTACAGGGAAGATGGGAACTGAGGAGAGAGCAGTACATTGGTGGGGAATGGCAAGGTGGCTTTCCACGGTGGTGGGTGTTTGAAGAGCAAGTCACAAACTCTAGGAAGGGCATGCACAGGGAATGCGACAGAGCTCAGCCGAGCCTGGTGAGTAGAGAATCTTTTCTCAAGCTCAGCCACGTCTTACATGATGGAGAGGCTGTGTAAACAGGTTTCTCCTTCAGGAGAAGCTTCTCTCCTAAGCTAGGGAAACACTTATCTAACCTGTGAAGATGGTTTCAGCTCACACAATGTTCACCATTGTGATGTAGGCTGCTTCACCTCGCTTCCTCTTTCCTTACCAGAAGTTGTCATTCTCTAGAAAGTTGTTCTTTTTACACCATTATTCAAACAAAGATAATAATACTTTCTTATGAAGAAACCCCAAATAAACAAAACAGTTTAATTGATATAAAATATGAGGAAAACATACTAAAATCTTGAATTTTTCTGGTCTACCATGGAGTTCAATGTAAGCAAACAATATTTTCTAAGAGAAAAGCTCTTCGGGGCAAACAATCATATTTGGTTGACTCGTCCTTGAAATCAATATGAAGAGATTCTTTCTCAGATAGAAGCTGCCTGTTCTCTGTTTATTTTAATCCCATATGCGTAACTTTCTCCATGAAAATGCCAAAATAGAATAGTGAAGAATGAAGTCAGAATATGGCACATAATTTCCGTGTCATTTCTTGATTGCATTAAAGAAAATTCCAATTTCTTCAATGTTCATCTATTGTCATATTCAAAACACATTTAAATTGCTCTCAATCCTCAAGATCCCAGCCTCGGTGCTGTGGGAGATTGCAACACCCAATGGTGACACATGGACTCTCCCGAGACCAAGCAGGCCATTGCAGGCCACATGACAGGCTTGTGAAAGAGTGACTTACAGAGAGTCAGGTAATGACATGTCCTGGAACCTCCCTGCTGGGGTGTGTACTCAGTGTTAGTGAGGCTTCTTGCAGTTAGTGGGCTGTGGGAGATGATGGAAAATTTTCAGGTTTCTTTAGCCCTATTAAAAAAAAAAAACAGGCTCTCCCAGTTTATTCATTCAAAGAAGTTTTGAGTATCTATAGGCCATCAGGTAGTATTCTTGGCATTTGGTTGTATCAATGAAAACCAACAAAGATATTGAATCATTTGGACTACACACACTAGTGGAAAAGGCAGAAATCCATTATAAATAATTAAAAAATTGACAGACAAGAATAACTTTATATTTAGTGTTATAGAAAAAAAAAGAAAAACAATGTAAGCAATTAGGAACACCCAGGAGATAATGGTATTTGTAAATATTCTTCCAGGAGGTGATTTTGGACAGGCCCAAAAGAACTGAAGTCACTGGAATATCTAAGGGTAGAATGTTCAAGTTAAATACTATCTGAAGCAAATCCTTCAAGCAGGGATCCAAAGCAAATGCTGGAGCTGCCTGGCATACTCCAGTGGCCCAGGGGCTGAGACAGAGGCCACAGTCACACCTGTCAGCCTGCCAGGCATTCTCAGAACACAGTGACTCACCATCCCACAGGTCTTTATGTGTCTGTTTAAACAATCTTTTGCAGAGTGTGCTAAAGAATGTCTCTTCAGTGCCTTCAATGCCTTGTTCCTGGAATTTTTTTGTTTTTGTTTTTGAGAGGTTTTACAGTATAATGGAAGAGGTACATATATGAGGGATTAAACTCACATCTAAAATCATTTTAATACAGTGAGTTTACCTATTGAGGATTTTTTTTCATCAAACTTTTTAAGTTTAATTATTCATGTGATAATAGAACCAGTGAGTGAGTTGTTAAATACAGAAATGACCTGGACCAGCAGTTTCTCCTTCAGTGACAGGGTCCTGAGAGAGAAGACGAGGAGATGAGGGGATACGAAAGTTTGGGATTATGTTCTGCGCAAGCTATGTCTTCTGACAAGGTAGCTCACTAAGAAGAGCATCTTATACACTATTTTCAGGGCAGAAATGGGACAGTGCTAGCAGGAACTATCATACAATGGGATGAAGTCGGAATGAAGAAAATCAGGAAATGTTGCGTAAGGAACACAGGGTATCTCAAGAATACTATAGATGAAGCACATAGGGGCTCTGGGATAAGCAACCTTAGCTCAGCATGGTGGAAAAAAATGGTTTTCAGTATCCAAAGCCACGGCACTCTCAAGGCTCTGGCCCCAGGCCATTACTGGCTGTGCCAAGCCTATTCCTAGTTTTAGAAGAGGAATTGTGTTCTTTCTCCACACATGGGGCCTCAGAGAAAACCTTGGATCAGTCCAGTCCTCAGCATGGAATTATGAATTTTTTAAAAAAAAACATCTTTTTAAGCAAAATTAAGTTACATATTGTACAACAAGTATATACAAGTGTGATGAAAATAGGGATATTGGTATGATGGCAACTGAATAATTGGAAATTGACCAAATATACCATTTATTAGTCATTACCTGACACCTCTTTTGTTTTCCTGGCTACTTAGGTTCAATAAAAGCTTCCATGGTTTGTAATTTAATATAATTTATTAGTCTTAACTTGAACAAAAAGACAAATGAAAAAGATCAAGAAGATTTATATTGTGAAAAATGGCAATATGTCTGCAGGATAGACTGGGATAGTAGTGGCGCATATGTTATTGGGGAAACTAACCATGTTTTAGTTGGCTTTTAGGCCCACTCCATGAGATGGAACCCATACTGAAACTGCTGAAGTGACCAGAAACATGGACTACATATGTGGTGGGTCTAGGGGAAAACCTAACACTATTATTCTGTTAAATGAAAGTGGGCATGACAATAAAAACTCCTAGTGACATACTGCTGTGTAGATAACC